CGCGGATCACCCAAGGTATCAGCATCAGGGATGAGGGCTTGGTTGGGATGTGCCTAATGGAAGCCCAGGCTGGGTTTGTTTGCTGACAATGTCTGCTGTCCCCACCGATGAGAGCAGGCCACTGAGCAGAACACTTTAATGAGCTATTCTCCATTAAGCAAAGAGACCCTCTGTGTGAGGGACCAGAGCTGATGCGGGGCCTGGGATAACCATAAGAGAAATTGGCAAGTCACAGCATCTCACTGCTGTCAGCTCATTAACAATTCCCCTGGGTTCCCGAGGCAGCTACTTAACTCCAAAGAGAACCTAATCAAACAAATACAGCCAAAGGGATTTGTTTATTCATTCTGGTGTCTCATCACAGCTCCAGAAGAAAACCAAGAGGCTAGCTAATGATTGCCATAAGTGCAAGGCTATTTTTTGCCTTCTTTCCTCATATTTGGTCACCTGAGTTCCATGTGAGTTACCTGGAACCCTACCTCTAGGCCACCTATGAAAAGTGAGTTGGTGCATCTCCCGTTGATAAACTTTACAGGGCATGGTTTCCAATGAGATCACAAGATCATAGATGTAGAGTTGGGACAGATCTCAGAAGCCATCTAATCCAATCCTTTGAAGACAAGGAAAACAAGGCCCAGAGGAGTTAGGCAACTTAATCAATCATCAAGCATTTATTAAACACGTACTATATGCCAGGCCCTGTGCTGGGCTGTAAGGGTACAAAGATAAAAATAAAGCAGTCCTTGCTGTCAATAAGCTCAATCAGGGCAAACAGTGGGCTATATGAGAATATGCAAAATTTGTACAAAGTAAATACAAGATAATTTCACCAGGGAAAGGTATTGGCAGCTGATTAGGGAAAGGTCTCATGTAGAAGGTGGCATTTGAGCTAACAAATTAGGGATGCTTAAAGGTAGAAGTGAGTACATCCCGGGCAGGGGGAAAAGCCTCTGCAAAGGCTAGATAGAATTAATAAGACTTAGAAACTAATTGGATATGGGAGGCAGGGAGAGAAAGACTCTAGGATTATTCTGAGGTTTTGAACCTGGATGACTGGAAGGACAGAAATAGAGAAACTGAAAAGAGGGATGGCTTGGAGGAGGAAAAACAGAGAAGAGATTGATGGGTGATTTCATTGGTATAGGAAACACCCGGAGAAGGAAACTCCCACAAAAATCCTGCAATTTATAGTCTTAGAATTACCTGGGGGCTCTGAGAGGCCAAAGGACCAGAGACACAGTGTATGTCAGAGACATATCTTGAAACTAGGCCTTCCTGTCTCCGAGTGTACTTCTCTCTTCATAGAACCACATGGATTCTATTGAATTTGACATATTCCCAAACCAAAGGTCCGCTTTCTGGCTGCAAGACTGACTTTCATTGCCCTGATTCTTTCTAAAACACAGCCCGTATGGGGCTGGGAGCTTTTGCCATCGGTAGGTAGCTAGATGAATGAGTAGATGAGCAATGAGACTCTTCCGAGCCCCAGCCCGTGGAATCTAGGTATCCAATTCATCAAAATTCATCTCTAGTGTCAGGTTTGTGCTGCTTCCTTCGCTCTGAATTTTTTTTTTAAGTCTCTCCAGCCCCCAAGGGCTAATTCGCTCCATCTCAGCTGCATAGGCTGTTGTGGTAGAGAGTGATGCAGCAAAAGACTGGGCCTCTTATTTAGAGTCTATGGGGACAAGAGCTCCTCTCTAGTCAGAGCTAGCCAGATTTGTGTCACTGAATCCATTTTTTTTTTTCCCTCAGAGGAAGACAGAGGAAGGCATCTCTGCTTCCTCTGCTCAGTCAGATATAACAATTCAACTGCTGCTGCTGGAGAAAAGGGACTAAAAAATCAAGGAAGAAGGAAGCTGGGTACTGGGGACTGTAGCTGCGTTTAGACTGGGAACCAGGGGCTGGGTTTCACCACCACTAGCCAGGCATCAATAAATTGGTGTGGAGGGATAATCAGGCACCAGACAAGGGGAAGGATGATGCTCTAGCTAGCTGCTTTTCTCCTAATCAAGGAAAGGAACTAATCACCATGAAATCAACAAACCACCAAAGCATGTGGAAATCAGCCCCAGAGGGAGGGGGAGTGGGGTTTAATCCAATCCAATTCAGAAGATTATGGCAGACGGGAAGGGGTATAAGGGGAAAAAAAAAAAAAAAGACAGACCTGGTCCTTGCCAATGAGTTTATAATGGAATAGAGGAGATATGATACACATTCCAATAACTATTATTGTTGTTGTTATTCAGTCATGCCTGACTGTGGTCCCATCTAGGGTTTTCTTGGCAAAGGTACTGGAGTGGTTCACCATTTCTTTCTCTGGTCATTTTACAGATGAGGAAAACTGAGGTAAGCAGGGTTAAGTGACTTGCAGCTAATTAAGTGTTTGAGGGCAGATTTGAACTAGGATCTTTCTGACTTCAGTCCCAACATTCTATCCACGGTGCCACCTAGCTGCCCACCAACGCTGGGAGGCAGGCGCTATTATTATCTCCATTTTGCGGATGAGGAAACCGGGCAAGCAGAGTTTAAGTGATTTGCCCAGAGTCATACAGCTAGTAAATGTCTGAGGCCAGATTTGAACTCAGGAAGATGAGTCTTCCTGACTCCAGGCCAGGTGCTCTATCCACTGTACCACCAACCTTCCCTAGGTTATTTTAGACATGTAATTATCCATTCTCAAGAAGAGATTAAAGATGGAGAGTTTAACAATTCTGCTGGGCAGATCACTTAACCAAAGAAAAAGTGGGATCGAGAATGACTGAGAATCTGGACTTCTGGACCCAAAAGTTCTTCCCAATCATAGTGGAAGGAAGGTGGAATAAAAGGGAAGGAAATACATTGTTTCCCAGTCCCAGGAGGCATCTAACCCAGTATATCTGATGTATGTCCCCCAGTGTTACTAATATTACCCTCTCCAAAAAAAGCACCCCCTTCCCAGTATAGATTCTGTGGAATTGGTTCAAGTTGAATTAAGAAATAAATCCAGTAGACCACAAGGCCCCTTATAAAGAAACAGTATATATGTTATAGTTTACCTCCCTGGGTTATGAAAACAAGATTTTGTACCAAGGGTGGGGAGCCACCCCTGTGACCTATACCTTAAAACTTGGGATTAGGTGAAATTTCTCATTCCCACTTAATAGATACTAAGCCAAATCAGGTGGGCAGATCACTACATTGCCTTAATATTGTTATAACCTAGGGAAATAAATAACCTTACCTTTCATCTGGTAGAACACTTCTTACAGAGATGAATCTAGAAGGGCAGAGAGCAAGGATGCACTGGAATACTTTATTTCCTGCATTAAAAAAAAAACAAAAACCAACCAGCCAACCCTCCATAGCCTTCAGTGAGATATTTACTCCCTATGTTCTCAGGATAAATCACAGAAGCCCCATTTCAAAGTCATTCTCCCTAAGACACCTCTGTGTGACTCACTCACCTTTTACTTCGTTGATTGTATTGTTTGGTGTAAATAACCTTTTACTGAGTCTATTGAATGATGACTATAATAGTAAGGATCTGAACAAAAGGCCTAAAAGTTGTGTGGCTACAAAAAAAATCCACCATTATTAAACTATTCAAAACAAAGTACATGCAGTATCTGGTAGAAATGTCTGACTCACAGTCAGCAAGTGTCCCTGAGCTCAGCCTCTGGGAACTTCGGAGTTTTGATGGGGTTGGGATCTGGACCCCAAAAAGGAAAAACCCTGGACTTTGCCACATGGCCAAATCTCTATTGTTAGCCTGAGGCTATAATCCCAACTGGCCTTTCATTGTGCCTACACCCAGTCTCCCAATTCTCTGTTACCCTTCACCTAGCCTAGCCCTCCATTGTCTTACCTCCCTATGGTCACCCTTAATCCTAGCTAGGCTCCACTCTCCCTTGGTCCTGTGGTCCAGGTCCCAGGAGTTCTGTTCACCCCAGTCTACTGACCACTCCCATCCAGATCTTCCTTAGACCCCTCCTCCAGTCACCCCAAACTACTTGGCCACTCCTAGATCCCTCCCACAGTCTTTCTGTATATAAGGTCCATCTTGTCTCCATTAAGATGCTCAGATTCTTACAATCTAGACAATAGCTCACAGATGTTCAGATTCCTTAAGAGTCTGCCCAATGAGACAGATGTTCTAATAAACCTTGTCTTTGACTGAAAGAAGGCTTGGGTTGAATTCTTTTGGACAGGACCTGCCTGTTGTGATTTTGGGGTCTCAGCACCCTTAAAGCCCCTAAATCTCAACAGAAACTGTTCCAAGAGTGAGCTCACTCTCCCCAGATACTAAAAGACAGCGTGCCCCTGAGGTGTTGTGGGGGAGGAGCACAGTGTTTTAATTTGTTTCATGAATTCCCATGGCCAAAAAATTCAACACCAATTAACAGGACTACCTGTGGTAGGCCTTTCTGTCCTGAGTTGGGCTAGATTTTAGAAAGCAGATTCACTGGGCTGCCAGGGCCATAATCAAAGCTTTTCTAATATGGTATTGTGTCCCTGCTAATTACACTGTCTCCTACTGGTCCAGTAGTAACTCCAGCAGCAGTTACAATGGATTCTGGGATAGTTCCTGACATGATATTTTTGATGAACAAACTGGAAAATTAATACTTCTCTTCTAGAAGTAACTCCTGGCTCAATATTTGCTGATAGTGACATTACAAGAAGCAAACCAAGGACTTCCATGCCTATTTCATTCAGAGATAATTAGGTTCTTTATAATTGGTTTCTAAATCAGACAATTTAATACAGTGATGACTGTTTTTTCTTTGCTTATCATGTTGTTGAAGAGATAGCAAGAAAATTCTTTGTTATCAAAAGGACATATTTTTAACCTTTATTATCTAGTGAAGAATAACAAAAATACAAATAATGCTTCTCTGCATACATACAGCTATTTTTCCCCCCTGAAAGCTTTAAGTATGCAAATAAAGGGAGAAGTATAAGAATACAAATCAGAGGGTATGAAAATACTAGAAAAGGAAACTGAAGGAAAATATGCAACAATAATGCTCCTCACAGAGTTCAGCTCCATTTGTATTTCATCCAAATGAAAGAAGAAAATCGGGTAGGGGTGAAATCTACGAAGTGAAGCATAAATAAGGTATGTGTACCATAATATTCAGGAACTCTCACTATAAACAAGCCAGCAAGGGTTATAGATAATTGATTTTAGTATTGCCAGGAGGGCAGTGCTTAGAAGTTACAGAGAGAGCTTTAGGCTAAAGAGAAAGGATTTTTTTTTTTAAGCAATAGAGCTAGCCCAAGGTGAAAAGCCTGCCTATGGAGGTAGTGGATTTTCCCTCACCAAAGATCTACAAGCAAAGACTGAGTGACTTGTTGGCTGTTTTATAAAGGGGGGGTTTGTTCCACTTGTACTCAGTCACTGGGGTCTCAGGAGGACAAGAGGACCATTCTGATCCCATCTGACAGCTTTCTGTGTGACCTTGAGTGAGTAATTTAACCTCCCTCACCTCAGGCTCCTCATCTCTTCCAGCTGTAAATCTATGATGCTCTGAATTGAGATCCTGTGATATAATTTGTCACCTCAGCTTCATAATTTAATTCTCAAAATGAGTGGGGGATAGGGGATGGGGGAGTGGAGGGTCGGGGAGGGGGAGGGTGGCAGTTTGGTGGCACAGTGGATATGATGAGGTCTAGAGGTTTTGGGGTGCTGGGACCCCGAGATCATGACACGAAGGTCCTGCCCGAAAGAATTCAACCCAAGCCTTCTTTCAGCCAGAGACAAGGTTTATTAAAGAGCCACCATATTAGCCAGACTCTTAAGGAATCTGAGCATCTGTGAGTTATTGGCTAGAATGTAAGAATCTGAGCACTTTAATGGAGACAAGATGGACCTTATGTACACAAAGACTATGGGAGAGATCTAGGAGTAGGGAAGTAGCAGGGACTGTGAGGTAATAGAATGCCAGGGACCTGGACCACTGTGGCCAAGGGAGAATTAAGCCTACATAGGATTAAGGTTAGGAAGTGGCCTGGGGCCATAAGGAGGTAAGATAATGGAGGGCTAGTCTAGGTCAAGGGTAACAGAGAATTGGGAGATAGGGAGTAGCCACAGTGAAAGGCCAATTGATGGAATTATGGCCTCAGGTGGGAGAATTCAAGGACAGTCCAAGGGTTTTCCTAGGGCCCCTGCAGACAAATCGGGCCCAAATTGGGACAAAGGTCTCAGCTTGGGCCCATACCCCATCAGATAGAGCAACTGACCCTGGAATCAGGAGGACTTGAGTTCAAATCTGACCTCAGACACTTACTAGCTGTGTGACCCTGGGCAAGTTACTCAACCCCATTGTCTCCAAAAAAGGGAGGGGAAGAGAAAGATTGGAGAGATATGCACAGCTCAGTTATTTAGCTGTCCAGGGTGGGCCCCGGCAAAATTGAAGTTGGCCAAATTGTTTTCAGTTATTCCCTGTTTTTTTCTTGATGAGCTAATGAACAGCAATGTCACCCAGTCTCAGGTAATATTTTAGTTGTAACAGAGGCATTCAATATTTTAACCCCAAATAGCGTGGGTAGTATGTGCATTTCAGGTGGTGTCAGTGAAAGCAGCGCATATTCCAGTTCAACCGAGTACCACAAATCACATCATGGAAGGAGGCAGAAGAGTCCAATGGAGGGGCACTCGGTTTGGAGGTATAGGATCTGTGTTCAAATGCTGACTCTGCTACTTACTACTAGTGTGACCTTGGGCCAGACCTCACTTTCTTCAGCTATGAAATGGAGAGGGAGAGAGGGGGAAGGTTGAACTGGATGACCTTCAAGATTCCTTCCAGCTCAAAATTTACGATCCTATGATCCTGTGTACGTGATTATACAAGCCAGCTCTATGGGCAAGTGACCTAATACCAAAGATGCTGAAGTACAAATTAGTCTATGACAGAGCAACTCTACTTATGAAGAGGCATCTTACCACAGACTAGGAGAGGATGGTGCAGAACTTGCCAGGGGTAAACCATTTGCTTGTCTCTTCACCTCTAAACTGGGCTGTAGGGGGAAACTGGGTGGTACACTGAATAGAGCACTGGGCTTGCAATCAGGAAGACTCATCTTCCTGAGTTCAAATCTGGCCTCAGACACTTACTAGTTGTGTGACCTTGGACAAGTCACTTCACCCTGTTTGCCTCAGTTTCCTCATCTGTTAAATGAGCTGGAAAAGGAAATGGCAAACCACTCCATTATCACTGTCAAGAAAACCCCAAATGGCATCATGAAGAGTCAGACACGACTAAAACAACTGCATAACAGCAACAAAATGAGCTGTTAGGAAAGTGCTTTGTAAGCTGTAAATTGCCATTTAGTGTGAGCTACTATTATCATCCATTAGTTAGCAAGATGAATCTTTCTGTAGCTCCAGTCTCACTAAGGTGTGATTTCAAGAGTTCTTAGGAGCTTCCGGGAATATTTGTCTCCTACAGAAAAGGATCATCCTCTTCTGAAGAGGGGAAAAGAATAAGCATATATATATTCCCTACTGTGTGCCAGGCACTGTGCTAAGTGCTTTTTACAAATTTTATCTCATGTGACGAAGGTACTATTATTATCCCCATTTGACAGTTGGAGAAACTGAGGCAGAGAGAGGTTAAGTGACTTTCCCAAGGTCACAATGCTAGGAAGTGTCTGGGGTCATATCTGAACTCAGATCTTTCTGACTCTGGGCCCAGTGTTCTAGCTACTGCACCACCAAATGCCTCCTGAGCGAAGGTGTCATGGATTTTTACCCAGCAGTTCCTCAGAGCAGCCTGACTGCCGACAGACTCATCAAAACGAATTGATGAGAAACTCCAAGTGTTTATTTCTTCATGATATAAAGGATGAAGTACTGAACTCCATTAGATTTTCCTCCCGGGATCCAATTTAGCCCATATTTCATCTCTTCACGTAGTGAATGTTAAAAGTGATAAGAAGCAGCTGAGGCAGAAGAGAATTTGGACTGACGTAAGCTAAACTTGAAAATCTTATTTCAAAATGGAACTAAAAATCAATTGCCACAATAGCGTTTTGAGTATTTTGTTCCAGAGACAACTACAGGCCATGTTTCCATGCGCTGTCTTTGAATGGCTAACTCATGACCCACAAGAAGCACATCCACCTTCACTGTTCTGTCCAGACGCTTAATCCTTAATACTACTCAGTCCACTAACCTCTTTTGTTCAACTTAGGGTCTCACGTCAGTCACTAAAATGTCATCCCTTCTAAAAATGCCCAATATGGGCATAGAGGTATGTAGTAGAGAGTGCTGGCCCTTGTGTCAGGAAGACCTGAGTTCAACTCCAACCTCAGACACTTACTAGCTATGTGACCCTGAGTAAGTCACTTAACCTGTTTAAATCATTTTCCTCATCTGTAAAATGGGTATGATAGTAGCACCTCCTTCCCAGGATTGTTGTGTGGAACAAATGAGATAAAATTGTAAAGTGCTTAGCACAGTGCCTGGCATACAGTAAGCACAATGCAAATGTTAGGTGCTATTAATGTTATCATCATCATTGTTGTTATTGTTACCCTCGACCTTTTATCGTCCCTGATGCCAATTCCTAATTCTTAATCAGTGCAAATATCTTTTTTAGGTCCTCTTCCAAAGCCAAGAGGCTTGATGGAGATTGTCAAAGAACTCTGCAGGCTTGATCCATTACAAATTCATGCTTCCCATCCTCAACTGGCTGCTTGGTATTTTTTTTTTTTTTTTTTGTGATTCCTTAACACATATTCCACAGCAACAATTTCAAGCATTTCCTAATCTTATTAATGCCCTAATGTCATAAAAAAAATGCAGAACCTCGAGTTAGAAGGGATCTCAGAGGTCACCTGAACAAATATCTTCATCCAACATCCATCCAAACAGGAATCTTCTCCACAATATCCCTGACATGCGGTCATCCAGTCTTGCTTTGAAAATGCCCAATGGTGAGGAACTCACCATGTGCTAAGGAAGCTCATTTCACTTTGGAGTAGCTTTTGGGGAAGTTTTTCTTTACATTAAATGTAAGTCTACTTCCTTACAAATGCCATAGTCCTGACCACTATGTCTGAGGCCAAATGGAAGAAGTTTAATGCTTCTTCTAAATGACCCTTTTTCAAATGCTTGAAAACAGCTATCAAGTCCCTCGAGTCTTCCCAAAGGCTCAGTGTGTATGTATGTGTCGCCTCAATGCCCGTATTGGCATTTCACCCCAAAGTGAAATAATCCCAGTTTTACCAACCAAACCTCACATGGCATAGTTTTGAGTGCTCCTCCCCCCATAATCTTGGTCATCCTCCTCTAGACGTGCTCCAGCTTGTCAACGTCCACTCTGAAATGTGATGTCCAGAGACAAATAGAAAATTTCAGACGCAACCCAAATACAGCAGAGTACAATGGAACTATTCTTTCTTGCATTCTCAATGCTGTGGTTTTATTAATATAAATAGAGTTGGTATTCACTTTTTTGTCTGTTGATTCATTTTCAGCTTGCTTGTCCATTAAAATGATGCCTTTCACACATGTCTAACAGTGCTTCCCCCTTCATGTAATTGCACACTTGACTTTTTTTAAAATCAAGCTTAGGACTTTGTTTTTATCACTATTAAATTAATCTTGTTAAGTAAAGTAAGCAGAACCAAGAGAACAGTAAATACAATGACTACAAACAGTTAAAGGTTGCTGAACTCAGATTAATTGAAATGACCAATCTTGGTTCCACAGATGATGATACACAATTCCATCCTCTCTGTAAAGAGATGGGTGGCTATGAGGACTGAATGCTGTTTTTGTTGATGGATATTGTCTTTTTTGTTTCACTGCTTTCCTTTGTGACATGGGAGGGCTCACTGTGTGTGTGTGTGTGTGTGTGTGTGTGTGCATGTGTATGAAACAGTATAATGGGAAATAACAGACTGGTATGTAAAAGGAAAAAAAATCGATAAAACTTTATAAAATTGATATTACTAGATTTGGCCTATTTTTCTAACCTGTCATAATCTTTGGGAATCCTAATTCTGTTATCCAATATGTCAATTATTTCTTCCATTGCCATGTTAGCTGCAAATTGACAGATATTTCACCTATTCCATTATCCAAGTTGTTAACAGAACAGATACCTGTACAGATACCTATTAGAAACCTCTCTCCAAGTTGACATTCACTTATTAATTACCACTTTCAAGGTCCAGAATTCCCCTGGCTGGGGAACCCTTTACCTTTCCCATAACCATGGGGTGTTCTTTTGATATCAAAGAAAGAGGCCACGGAGCTCAAGACTGGTTATAGGTAGTAGCTCAATCAATCATTATAAATACTTACAAATAGGGGCAATCTTCAGCCTGGGGCAGTAGCCAGACAGTTCAGTGGATTCCCCATTCAAGAACCCCCAAAATCCCCTTGGTAATTATAGAAAACAGATAAAGGCAGGAGGAGCTAGAGAGTGCATCACTACTGATTGGTGAATATTTTTGATTTTCTGCTTAGTAATGAGCTTGGGAGTTAAGCCAATGTTATACCCAAACATGTTTGTGTATGGATCATGTACCAGTTACATATAGGTTACAATATTCTTACTATGTCTCTCATAGGTGATAATATCTTAAGTTTTGACAGTGTCTAAAATATAATTTTGTATCTGTAAATAGGTCACCATTTCTGGACTTCCACCTTTCACAGAATTTAAGTTTTTATGACTTTTCCCCAAACGGAACCCCACACCACTGTTTGGGTCTAGGTAACTTAGCCAGTTCTAAAATCTACCTGATTATGATACTGTTCAGTCCACATATTTCCATCGTGTCCACAAGGATATTTGGAAAGACTTTGTCCAATACCCTGTGGGAATTTCTGTCTATGCTCTGTCAGGGTATTCTCTTGATCTACTATTTTAGACGGATAGACACTGGACCTGTCATTTCATTTGGTATAGGGAACTCTCAGGTGAAGAAACTGCCACTACCAATGCATGCTGGCTCTTTCTCTTCAACACAGAGAGTTGTCTAAGGTATTTAAAGTTTAAGTGACTTGCCCAATATCACATAGCCTGTAACTGTCAGAAAGTAGACTTGAATACAGGTCTTTTGGGCTCCAAGGCCAGCTCTTTGTCTACTAGTCCACTTTTAATTTTGCATTACCTTTATTATTAGTGACTTGGAGTTGATGACTTAAATGTCTCCATTTGAAAACTATCTTTTCATATCCTTTGACCATTTGACCACTGGTAAATGACTCTGAGAATGAAGTAGAGAGAAATAAATAGATACAGACAGATAGATATAGATATATATGACATGTATATGGTTATGTATATTTGTCTGTCAGTTCCTTACTTATTTTGGACATTAGACCTCTATCAGAGACATTTGTTTGACTCAGCTAGGTGGCATAGTGGATAGAGGGCCAGACTTGGGAGTCAGGAAGACTGGAGTCTAATTCTGCCTTAAATGCCAACTAGTTGTGTACTCTGGGCAAGTAACAACCTCTCAGCTTCATTTTCCTGCTCTATAAAATGGCGATAACAATAGCATCTATCTCACAGGGATATCATGAGATATGATAATATGTGTAAAGCACTTTGTGTACCTAAAAGCACTTTCTAAATGTTAATTTAAAAAATATTTTTCCAATTACTTCTGTAATTCTAGCTGCACCAAACCTTTTCAAAAATGTATTGTTGATTATCTAGACTTAAGAAAGTGATGGAGAAAGTGTTAGTAATGCAGGTTAAACTTAAAAGTACAAAAACTTTTCAAATATATATGATCATAAATGTTCATCTTGTCTCTTATGATTACTTCTTATCCATGTTTGGGTAAGAATTTTTCACCAACCATAGTTGTACAAGGTACATCCTTTTTTTTTAAATGATATGACCTTTTATATTTAGATTATATATCCACTTAATCCTTTTCTGGTCATGTATGGTGTAATTTGTTGGTCTAAATAATATTTCTGCCAAATTTCTGCTTTCTAGTTTTTTGGGTTTTTTTTTTAGAATTTTTTGATGACTAAGAAGTCCTTACCTCAATAGTTGATGTCCTTGAGTATATTAACACAACGCTATTATGTTTGATTGCTTTTAGGTCTTGCTTCTCTATAGTCTGTTTCATTGATTTTTCTGTATTTCAACTAGTACAAAATAATTTTGATAGTGATTGCTATATAGTGTAGTGTGAGATCTGGTAATATTAAGATGTCCTTTATTCCTACTTTTACATTATTTCCCTTATGTTTCTTTACCTTTTGCTCCTCCAGATGAATTTGTTATTTTTTTTTCTTTTCTATAAAGTAACTCTTTGGTAGTTTGAGTGGAGTTATTATTAAATCTTCAAATTAATTTAGTTATAATCAAATTGCTTATTATATTGGCATATTCTATCCATGAACAATGAATATCTCACCAAGCATTTTAAGTTTTGATTTATTCTTTGTAAAAAATGTTTTGCAGTTATATGTCTGGAGAATGTTTTGTTGCGTTGATTCCTAAGTACTCCATTTTGAATGGAATTTCTATTTCTATTTCCTCTTACTGAGTTTTGTTAGTAAAATACAAAAAGGTAGATAATTTTGCAGGTTTGGGGTTTTTTTCTACTACTTTACAGAAATTACTGAATTTACTAATTTAATGAAATTACTAATTGTTTTGATTCATTAGTTTCATTGAATCTCTACGATTGTATCATCTGTAAACATAGATGATTTTGTCTTCTTTTCACTCATGTTCATTTTCACAATTTCTTTTTTTTAATTTTGCCACCTAAAGATTGTTGAGGAGTGGAATGACATGATATAATGACAAGACCTGTGCTGGAAAATTGATTGTAGGCAGAGGTATGCTGATAGATGTGTAACAATCAGCTTTCAGGGGCGGGGAGGAGTAGGAGAGGAAATATATACACAGGACATACTTTTAAGTTTAACCTGCATTACTAACACTTTCTCCATCACTATCTTAAGTATAGTTAATCAACAAATCAAGCTCTGATTTGTAGCAGTTACCAATTTCTGAGGTGTAAGTGCACACTTTGAAAATTTAACAATTGGCTTTTTCAAGGTGGTTCAGCTAGCTCCCTGAATGTAGAGAAAGAGATGAGAAAGAGAGAGAGACAGAGAGAGACAGAGAGAGAGAGAGATCAATTAGGAGGCAATTGCAGTAGTCCAGAGGTAATGAGGACCATAGGTGGAGAAATGTGGGTGGAGAAAAAGGGAAGATAAATGAGAATTTGAGGAAATAAAATCAACAATACTTGGCAATTGACTAGATATGGGGGCTAAGGAGGGTGAAGAGTCAAAACTATCTCCAGAATTGTGAATCTGGGGGTTGTACCTTTGACAAAGAGGGAAGTTAGGAAGCAGAATGAGGTTTTGGAGGTGGTGAGGAAAGGAATGAGTGTCTTTCTCTGCCTCTTAGAAACCCAGGCTTTCCTTCAAGACTCAGCTTCAGCAACATCTTCTGTTGGAGGACTTTCTTGGTACCATAGCTGCTAGTGCCTTCCTCTCCCTTCTGAAGTTACCTTAGAAAAATATGAGTATTAATACTGTACTCTGCATTTAGGCACAAGCTTGCCATAAACAGCTTTGGTTAATTTATCATTAATCAAATATCCAAGGCATTTCAAGTTTGGAGAGAGAGAGATGTCCAAACTATAGTCCTCCATGACCTCCAACATGATTTTCTGCCCCAAGAGAAGTTCAGGTAATA